CCGCCGCAGCAGCTGCACCCCCCACCCCCCAGCGACAGGCGCCCGGCGCGGCCGATGAGGACGCCCTGTTTGCCGCGCTGCAACACAACTGGCGCAAGGTCGCCTCCACTGACAACCTCTTGGTGAGGCCATGCAGCAGGTTGCCTCAACACGCACCTGGGAGGCCTGCTAAAGTGTTATTGCAGATGATGTTTGCAGGAGGGATCACAGCGGCAGCTGCCGGTGCAAGTTCGGCCCAACCTCCCCCCCCTCCGCCTTGCACCCCTGCAGTTGCTTGCAGAAGAAGAGGCAGGCCCATCTGCCGATTCAGCAGCGCGTCATGGATCCTTGCTGACAGGGTGAGGCGACTGGCTGCGTACCTGCAACCCACGCAGCCGCAGCAACTGTGCTGTTCATGCTGGAGCCCTGGGTTGTTGGTCAACCCAGAAACCTTCCTCCGCCGCAGGGCTCTGCTGATGATTTCAGGTGCTTTGATATTGGCCCTGAGCATCTTCTGCATGGTGGTGAGTGCCTCACCGCTCCACAGCAGCGCCAGTAGCGCCCTCGCAGCTGGTTTGCCCAGCACCAGCGCCAGGTGCAAATCTGCCCCAACGCCTGGGCGTTAGAGGCCTGCGTGCCTGCCGATTGGTTTCTTCTTCATCTCAAGGCTACGTCTGGCTCCAGTGGGTACAGGCTCACGAGACCGTGTGCACAATCATCAACCCTGCATTGACAGGTGTCTAAGCTCATGCCACCAAGCAACATCGCCCTTGTGGCTGCCATCCAGCAAGACTGGTACGGGCTGCAAAGATCAGCAGCTGATGCTTGGAATGTACGCCCGTCTGATCCCCCAATCTTGGCTTGCGGTGACCCCGCAGAACCGCGCCACCCACTGCTGCCTGCCGACCCACCTCACCCTCTCAAGGTACTACTGCTTCCTTATCCCTCTCATGCTGCCCGTCACATTCATAGCGGTGCGCACGGCCGGCGCTGAATGGCTGATGTGCATGCTCAGGCGTGCTTGAATGCCGGACGAGCTCCCAGAAAGCTGGCAGGACAGCTGCGCTCCGACTTATGACCGCCTCAAGATAGGCTGAATCTCGCACTCCCCTGGCCCGCAGGTGACCGCCAACTGGTTCAGTCTGAAGCTCTTCAGGCACAACTCATGAGGGGGCCTCCCACCAGCAGGATTTGTCGGGCAAACATACGTCTGTCCACCGCTGCGACAAGGATGTGCTGCCAGGTGCGTCCCGGTTTCGCTGAAAGCCTGTGCCAAGGGTCAACATGGCTTCGCAAACTCTGGATGCACAAGCTGCACATCTTCTGAAATACATGCACACCACTGCTCTCCGGCGCAGGCTGCTGTGGAGACTTGACATAGCACAGCTGCCATCATCGTGGTTGGGCAGCAGCTGGGTTTATATTAGCCATCGCTGAATTCTGTTGATTCCCTCCAACACGCCTGGCCTGCTGTCGTGAAACGTCTTGCCCCACAATCACGATTGATTACTTACCAAATATGAATGCGCATAGCGCGATGTAGTGCATGCATGATTCACATTGTAATCAGCACAACGAAATTATGACGAAGGGCCCTGGAATGCAGCTTCGATTAAGACGCGGCAAAGCTGCGTCACGACGGCGCAGACCTGCACGACAAAACCCGCCGCACGCACAATGCGAACCGCGGTGGACCTCCTCTTCGACCAGTGCGGATTACAGAAAGAGCAAGCTGCTGCAGCTGCAGGGGACGGGTGCGAAGAAGGCGTGCGCGAGCACACCGCCCGCAACGAAAAGCCACCCAGCCCAGCCGCAGCGGCCGGGTTGGTGGCCAGACTTCTTCGACAGATCAGATCAAATCACAACTCCTCCTTGTCGTCCTCCTGCTCGTCCTCCTCCTTGTCCCCTGCATCCAGCTTCTCCTCAGGCGCCTTGCCGTCCTTCTTGTCGTCCTCCTCCCCGTCATCGTACTCGTCCTCCTCGCTGTCCTTGCTGCTGCTGTCCTCCTTGGTCTCAGAAGCCTTGCTCTTCTCGTCCTCCTCCTGCAATCGCAGCAGAAAAAGGATGGCAGGGTGAAGGATGGGTGGCGGAATCGTCATGACCGCGGCCTGCACAGCACGGTATGCACACGCACAGCGAGCCAGCGAAGCGACAACAACAGGTGATCGCACCAACAGCGGCAGCGCGCAAGACAGACCGCAGCAGTTCAAAAACCAGGCTGCATGAATACTGTGATTCAAACGCCGGGAAAACGGTCGATACACGCGTTGACCCAATGTATTTCACGATGCAACTCGCAAGCAAAACTGCCGCCGTCCCCTCTCCCACGCGCACAAGCGCGCCCGCGCACCTTCTTGATCTTCTCCTGCATGGCCTTCTCCGCGTCCTTGCTCTTGCCCCACGTCTCCTCCGCCAGCTTCTTGGCCTCGGCCAGGTCGTCGGTCACGATGATGTTGTCAAAGATGGAGCCGCTCTTGACCTGCCAGAGCTCGAAGCCGACGTACTTGGTGTCCTTGATGAGGTGCAGGTTGGGGTCGGCCTTGTACTCGGGGTTGTCAATGTCGGGGGCCTCCCAGATGCCCTTGTAGGCCGGGTTGTCGATCCTGTGGGGTTGAGTCGGCGGGGCTCATGCAACACGCGGCTCGGCTGCCCTTCCAGAGCCGCGTGTTTGGGTTCGTTTCTCACCCGCACTCGCATCTTTCGCTCCCACGACCGCCCCTGACTGGTCCCCGCACGAGACGCCCGTGCCCTCGGAGCGGCCGCTCACTGCTTGGGCTTCCACTCCCCCTTGTACTCGGGGTTGGGGATGGTGGGCGCCTCCCACTCGCCGTCGTCCTCGTCGTCCCAGTCCTCGGGCTTCTTGGCGTCGGGGTCGGGCAGGGTGGCGGGGATGTCGTCGTAGCCCTCGGGCTTCTTGTCCTCGGGGTCGGCGATCTTGGGGCGCTCGTCCCAGTCACTGGGCTTGGAGGCCTTGGAGTCCTGCGGGACGGGGGGGCAGCAGGTGGGGAACGGGACGTGAGGACGAGGCTGTGTGTGGGGGGGGGGAAGGGGGGGAATTGCTTCCCCTGGGCAGCTACGACGGCGCTTCAGCTGCTACAGAAGCCTGTGCCCAATTGCAGTCGCCTGCCGTTGCATGTGGCCGGCATGTGCAACTGCAGCAGCGGCAGCCACTCGTGGCAACTTCTCACACAGCGTTTGGCATCCTTCTGCGCCTCTGGCAAGCGCGATACTACTTGAGCCGCTACTGTTTGATGCTGCTGTGTGCCTCCCATCCTGTCCAGCCGACAATGTTGTGACGTGCGGCGCACCTTGATCTTCTTGGGGGGCAGCATGTCCCAGTCGTCCTCCAGGGAGCCCTCAGCAACCTGCTCCAGGTCAATCAGCACCTGGTTGATGGGAACAAGGCAAAGTGGACGGCGGTGTTGGCTTCAGCATACGACGAGCACACGCTTAGCCAGCCCAAGCACTTGAACACGGACGTTCTTACCATCGGCGTTGCGGCTGGCTATGGGCCTGAAATCCGGCTCATTCAGACCCGCAACAAGGGTGGGGGATCTGATTCGCTCGCATCCAGCTGTTATCACATCCAGCTTGCATTTACCCCAATCTGCTGTCCTTGCTGCAACATCCTGCTCACGACACTTCACACCACTCTTCACACCATGAGCACCACAGCTGCCGCCGGCTGCGCTCCTGCTCTCCCCCCCCACCTGGTAGGTGTTGTTGGGCATGATGCGCAGCGTGTACACGTGCGTGAGGGTGTCGGTCTTAGCGGTGATGTCCTTCTTGATGAGGTGGTTCTTGCCCTTGTAGGGCAGGATGACGTGGACCTTGCGCGTGCCAAAGCCGCAGATGTCGGGGCCAAACATGACAGAGTAGGGCGTGTCCCCGCCAAAGTCCTTGATCTTGTCCTTGCTGCCGGGCGGGCCGCAGCGCAACCGAGGGGGGGACCGAGGGGGGGCTTGAAGATGGATGGGATTGCATGCGTGCACGCCTGCTGCAGGTGTGGTTTTATTGTGCATGTGCTGTGCCAGGACTACCTGATGGCAGAAGACATGGGGTGTCTGCATATGATGCATGGCAGCAGCACTGCTACCCGAACCCATCAAACTCAAACCCCTCACCTTGAGCCGGGAACAAGCTTGATGTAGCCGCCGCCGCAGTCAATGTCCTGCTCATGCTTGACAGAGAACTGCCGCAGTAAAGAAGACAACAGCAGGGTTGGTTAGGGAGGGCTGTTGGGGGGACAGCAGCCGTGCAACGGACTTTGCTGTTGCTGTCCAACCAACAGTGGAGGGGCGCCGCCCCCAAGCGCAGCTGCAGCACATTGATGATGAGGGGTGCTTGCAAGCGCAGACACGGCCGGGTGCGAGCATTCACAATCTCCATGGAGATGGACCCCAGCCCGAGCCGCCGCCTCAGCGACACACCTGCACGACCAGGTCCTTCTTGTCATTGGTGAAGGGCTTCTTCAGCTCGGAGCTGATGGCAAAGAACTTGCTGTCAGGACCGGTCTTGATGCCCTTATCCGCCTCCGCATCACCATACCTTGTGAGAGCACAGAGCATTTGACATGGGCATCAGCAGAACGTGGGAGATCAATTCTCGCCGCTCGTGGCGCACCCAGTCGTGCAGGGCAAGAGCCGGCAGGCATGCATGTGGGCACAGAGGAAGCATGCCGGCCAGGGAGCACCAAGAGTGGGCACCCACCACTTGCCAGCCGACAGGGTGAACTCGCCCGCCTGCCCGTCCTTAGCCTTCCACGAGCTCTTTTGCCACCGGCTGGTCCAGGTGTCATCCTCTGGGAGTCGAGCAGATGGGTGTTGCATGGGGCAAGGTCTTGGTCAACACATGGCCCAGGCACTGCTCCTGGCGACCCGAGGGCCCCAGCGGCCATGTAAATGCGCAGAATGATGCGTCCCAGGTGCCTCAGCAGGCTTGAGGGCCAGCAAGGGCGCAGGCGTACGTCGACCAGGGGAAAGAGCACGAGTGCGGCACGCATGTGGCCCCGCAATCAGCGACATGCTGCGGGCCAAGGCGAGTGGGCACGCTTCTATCCTCATCAAGCACAAGTTACACTGTCAATCCGATCAGGGCCCTCGAGGCTGTTCTTGGGGACTGTTTTCTAGAAGCCCGGGACTGCGGGACACGGTGTGCAACCACCTCCACCCGCGCTCTCAAACCCATGCAAGCTAAGAAGACGCACCAAATTTCTCCAAAAAGTAAGTCTCGGCGACCGCAGACCCCACAATCGCTGCCAGAAGCAGAAGCGAGCTGGCAAGTCGCGCCATGGCGCCAAAAGCCCAAGAATAAGACACAAGAGATCAACAAATGATTGAATGAATACTGGATGTATGCACAGGCAGCATTTAAGACGATCACACTGAATTTGGGTCACTCCACACCATCGGCCAAAGAAGTGCCAGGAAAGGAGCGGTCACAGAAGATGTGCCGTAGGTAGTAAACGATGAGAACAACGCTCAGTTTAGACATGGCTGCTCAACATCGGGCGTGTGTGGTGGCCGGTTGTGATCCACCCCAGTCCGCCCCAATGCCAGAGCCCAGAAGCAGCAGCAGCCGAGCCCCAAGCGTTGTGCAAGCAATTTCCTGGGTGGCCATTGATGCACAAAGAACCGGACCCTATACCTAGACAGTTCATGTGAGCGGCTCATCTCATCATGCTGTTGCAGTTGTGCAGCTGTTGTGTACACGTGAAGGAATGTCATGCCAGCTGGTGGCTGCAACCCACGCCACGGACCCGACCCTCAGGCATTTCTTTGGGATTAAGCGCCCAAGTGTGATCCAATTCATGGAGCTTAAAGGCATGATCTTGCACTACAGTGTGATTGCAGCACGTTGAGCCGCCACACAGCCGCCCCTTGCATCTGTGATGGACGATGTAGTGCACGCATTTTCATCATCAACACACGCCCCGAGTTTGACACGATTGATTACTTGGGAGGTCGGGCTGTAGACGCTGCAGGGGTACACGGTGCCCAGTCCGTACAGCCACCTGGGGTGCCAGCTCGAGCAGTGCAGCAGCCTCATTACGGTAGAGAATGCTCCGTGCACCCATTACAAACCAGCTTTACAGCGGTGGAACGGGTACGGGCAGGGATATCCCACTCGCTTTGTGCACTCCGCTGCTTGCCACACACCTGTTCCTTTGATCCCCGGTGAGACGGTGACGGCCGACTACGACTCCAAGGTAGTTGAGGTATACTTCCATTTTACAACCATTGATACTGTCACATTCCACCCCCATAACGCGCTTCGCTTGTCAACAAGCAGCACATGCTACACAGGACCAGCCTGGACTCACTTGCAGAGTCAAGCAAGGTGTTGACTGTGGTCATGATCTGGCACCCATGCAGAATGGTTCCCTGTACCACGTGGTAATCAACCAGATTATGTGCACTGGCCGGCTGCACCCATGGCGGACGTTGGCGCCCTTTCAGCAGCAGATCAGGTGGGCGAGTATCGCGCGCTTTTGCGGCACACGATGCAACCTTGCGGTAGAACACTTGAAATCAAATTTAGATTCTCTGCAGGCAAAAAGTGTAAGGAATACAGCGGCACTGGCCGCAGCGTTTGAGCGATGGCGCGCAGCGCGAATGCAGGTGGGCGCGCAGCGCGGATACAGCCGCTGCCGCAGGGTGCTCATATGCTTGTGGGCTGCATGGATTGTGTGTCAGAACAGCCGTGGCAGTCCAGTTGCTGCTGCATCTCAACTGCAGGCCGGCTTCAAAGCGCAGCTTCAAAGGATTCTGGTGGACGTGGAAGCCGAGGAGGGGGCGCGGCGAGCACTGGAGCGGCGCTTGTCTGACGCGCAAGCAAGGTCGGTGCGGCGGCCGCGTCCCCCTCGCCGCAGAGACCGCTGTCTCTGCTGGGGACGCACCTGCGCTCTGAGCGCGAGCCGCGGCGGTGCAGGTCGTAGACTCCCGAATCCCCGTCGACCCTGGTGATGCAGGCGGCCGCGCCCCTCACTCCCGTGCGCCGCAGGGAGAAGCAGCTGCTCATCAAGCTGGCCGCGCTCAAGGCCGACCATGCGGCAGCAATCACAGAGCTGCGGTCCCAGGGCGACGGCCTCGCCCGCCTGCACGCCGCCTGCGCGCGCGACGCCGAGGACGAGGGCGCCGCCACCGCCGCGCTCGACGCAGAGCGCGCCGCGGCGGCGATCGCGCTGCAGGCCGCGTGGCGCGACGCCGCCGCGGCCAGGTCCGAGGCGGGCGGCCTGCGGGAAGATCTGAAGGCGGCGGTCGGGCGGCACCAGGCGCTGCTCGACGCGCTGGCAGATCGCGACCAGGCCGTGTCCGCGGCAGCGGCCGACGCGCGCGCGGCGCGCGCTGCAGCAGCGCAGGCGGCGGGCGAGCTGGGGCGCATGGAGGGCGTGCTGCGGGCGACGGGCGAGCGCGCGGCGGCGGCAGAGCAGGAGGCGGCGGACGTGCGGGCGGCGCTGGCCGACGGCCAGCTGCAGATTGCCGCGCTCAATGACAGGTGCGCAGTGCGGCAGGCGGTATGGTCATCATTGTACATGCCACATGCGTCTGTCCTGCAGCCTAGGTCCTACAGTCGCAGCGCGACAATTGATGCGATGTTTTGCTGGCAACCAACCACGGTCCTCATGCAGGCTGAGTGCATCTTTGGCGGAGCTGCGGCCGCTGCGCGCGGCGGCCGCCGGCGCCGCAGCCCTGTCCGAGCAGCTATCGGCGGCTTCAGCGGCGTCCGCCGCGCTCGCCGCCGCGCGCGACCGGGCGGCCAAGGCGGCGGACTGCGCTGGGGCGGCGCTGGCGGCGGAGCAGGACAGGTCGCGTCGTCTGGAAGAGCTGCTCAGTCAGGTGGGTTGCAAAGATCTGGTGTGAGATGTGCGGCTTTGTGTTTGCTGGGACCTGCTGTCCGTCAGGGTTTAAGTTTTTATGAACACCCTGATTGTGTATGAGCATTGTAGGCAGCAGCTAGTCTGCAATGCTTCTGCAGATCCCAGCGCAGGCAGCTGCCAAACGTGACGGTCGTGTGTAGTGGGGCTGATCCATGTGCCCACTGTGGCTCGCCTGGCAGGTGCGCACTGCGGGCGCCGCTGACACAGAGGGCCCCCAGCAGTCAGCAGCGGACACCCATCGGTTGGACGGGAGCCGCCTGCGTGCAGCGCTGGACCTCGGCCCTCGCCTTGCCGCAGCAGAGGCGGCGGCCGCGGCGCAGCGGCGCCACATAGAGCGCCTGGCGGCCGAGGCCGACGGGGCGCGGCGCGACGCGGACGCCGCTCGCGAGCGCGCGCGGGTGGAGCGGTCGCTGTGCGTCCAGCTGCAAGCCGAGCTGCAGAGAGTGCTGAGCGCGTCTGAGGGCGGCAACACGGGTGTCGTTGGGGCCACCCTGCCGCGGGCCGGGGCGGCGGCCGGCGCGCGCCACGCGCGTCTGCTGGGGCGGCTGTCGGACGCCGCGGCTGAGCTGCGGGCGCACGCGGCGGGGGCGGCCGGCCAGCGAGGCCGCTGGCCGGTGGCACTCGCGGCACCCGCGGCCTGCGCGGAGGCGGCTGCGGCCCAGCTGGCAGCCGCGGCAGCGGCAGTGGATGATCTGCTGCCGCGGCTGCAGTCAGGCGCGGCGACCGCCGGTGACCTGGCGGTCGAGGCGGCGGTGGTCGAGGCCGCGGAGGCAGGCCTGCAGCGCATGCAGGGCAGCATGGGGCAGTGCCTGCTGGAGCTTGCTGCGGGGCATGAGGAGTTGTCGGAGCGGGGTGCGGCGCTGGCGGAGCTGCTGCCGCCCCTGGCTGAGGCCGCAAACCTGGCGTGCGCCGCGGCCGCGTGGGCGGAAGCTGACGGCGGCGGCGGGCTCGAGGACTGCAGCCAGGGCTGCGATGCGGCAAGTGGTGATGAGGTGCAAACATCTTGGCACGATGGGCCTGCAGGCAGTTCTAGGGTGCCGACATGGCAACTTAAAGCAAGGGAAGAACTCGAGTGCATTGAGCAGCGGCTGGCTGCAGGCCGGCAGCCTGCGGTGACGGGCGGCTGGCTGGGCGGTGATGCGGCTGCCGTCGAGGCGGGTGCAGCCGTAAGGGACGCGGCAAATGCAGTCCAGGAGCTGCGCGCCGCGCTGGGGGCCGAGGCGGCGGGAGAGCAAGGAAGCTGCGGGCCCCGGGGCGGCGGTGGCGGAGGCAGCGGAGGCAGCGGAGGCAGCGGAGGCAGCGGAGGCAGCGGAGGCAGCGGAGGCAGCGGAGGCAGCGGGGGCATGGCGCTCTTCACGTTACTGGAGACCGGGGCCGACAGCATCGACGGCAAGGCAAAGGTGAGAAACTAAGCGGCAGCAAGCAGGCGCGCACCAGCTGCAGCCAAGCGGCCAAACAATCACAGTATCCTGGACGCCACTCCTGGACGCCGCTCTCTGTGCCGCCAGCTGCTCACATGACTGTATCACGACGCGCATCAGCCAAAATTGGAAACCACTCTCACGCCGTGCGCCCAGGTCCTGCGGTCGTTCAAGGCCGCGGTGTCGACGGCCGCGCTTGCCACGGCCGCCCTTTGGGAGCGCGTCTCTGGCGGCACCCAGGCCCTCTTCGCGGCGGTGTCTTTGCTACAGGAGCTGGGCGGGCTGCTGGCGTCTGCGGCAGCCAGCGGCGATGCCATGCCCCTGCCGCCCCTGGTGCCTCGCTTTGTGCGGCGCCTCGATGCGACGCTAGCGTCGGCTGTGGGGTTGAGGCAGCACATGGGCCAGGAGGAGGCCGAGGCGGCGGCGGCAAGAGCCGCAGAGCTGCAGCTGGAGGTGGCAGCGCTGTCGCAGCTGCTGGAGGCGCGCGATGCACGCGTGAGGCAGCTGGAGGCGCGGGAAAGGCAGCTGCTCAGTGGTGGGTGCCCGGCCTTTGTTGAGCCCATTGGATCAAATCGTCCATTCATGACCAGGGGTGTCCATGCATTGCCCTGCGCTGCGGCTGCTGTGAGTCCCTCGCCCCATGGCTTCCACGAGCGTCTCCATCCCGTTGACCGCTGCACCCCTTCCCCCCTCCCCAGGGACCGCGGAGCTCGTTCCAGCCGACCTCTTGGCCGCTGCGCGCGACGAGCTGGGGGCCAGCGAGGCGCGGGCGCTGCAGCTGGCGCGCGACATGGACCGACAGCGCTCTCACAGGGTGGGCGGGTGGTGCCACCGTGTGACTGAACAGGGGTGGAGTCGCGTCATGCCCCTTGCGACTCGTCAGCAGGCCTTGACTTGCAGCCTGCACTGCCGCGTGGCCGCTGCTCAATCAATCAAGTGCTTGGAGGACAATCTGAGGTTGTGCTTCGATCACCCTGGATCAATCCATCCGGCAGGCAGCCGCCGCGAATGCAGCGGTCGAGCGCCACGCGGCAGCCCTATCCGCTGCGCAGCTCGCGCAGTCGCTGCAACACTGGCGCGCCGAGGCGCTGGCCAGCCGTGTGTTTGCGCTCTGCGAGCAGATGGCGGGCCTGCAGGCGGAGAGGGAGCAGCTGCTGTGCAGCTGCCAGTTGCGCCGGGAGGCGCTGGAGCGGTACCTCGAGCGGCAGAGGGCCACTGCGCAGCTCAGGCTGGTGCACAAGGTCGCGCTGCTGTCCTGGAGGCGAGGCTGCGAGCGGCAGCAGAGTGTACGGGGCAGGTGGCGCGAGGTGTCAGACGCGCTGCTCCGTGACCGGGGCTGCGCAGACAAGGACGAGCGCGGCGCAGCAAGTCCAGCGGCGACATTTGCAGGGCGGCTGCTGCGGCGGAGGCGGCGGCCGGAGGGCAGCCTTGCGTGGGCGGCCGCGGCGGGTCGGGCGAGGGGCTTGGTGCTAGGCGGCTGGAGGGAGTTGGCGCGGCAGGCGGCTGTGTGGCGTGAGCTCGAACATGTGAGCGGCGGCAGATGGGGTACTCAGGCAACTATTGTCGGCCATCGGTATGTGCTTGTGTGCAATCCAGGTGGCGCATGCATGCAGGTATATGGATAAAAGGATATCGGATTTGTCGACTTGAATATGATGAATTCACGCACAAATGCAGTTACCTGCAACACTCACTCCAGGCTGAGGCGCAGGTGGAAGCGCTGAGCGCTGGCCTCCCCGCCTGGGTGGCGCTGCTGGGCAACCGCCGCCGCTTGGAGAGGGCTTGGCTGGCCTGGCGCCTGCATGGCTGCGGCCATGCTGCCGGGAATCGGAGCCAAGGCGCGCCGTTGCAGCAGAAACAACAGGGGCAGCGGCCGCAGGAGGACCAGCAGCAGCTGCAGCAGGAGGTACGGCGACAGCAGGAGCTGCAGCAACAAGGGTTGGCACCGCCGCTGCGGCGGCAGCAGCAGCAGCAGCAGCAGCAGCAGCAGCAGCAGCAGCAGCAGCAGCAGCAGCAGCAGCAGCAGCAGCAGCAGCAGCAGCGATGGCAGGACCAGCACCCGCAGCAGCTGGTGCATGCACAGGATAGAGCAGCAGAGCGTGAGTCGCTAGCTGCGCAACGACACAGCCTGCGACATCGCGTTGCCCGCCGCAACGCAGCTGAGCTTGCTGCGCGGCCTGCAGAAGAACCCACCAACACCGGCTCTGGTCTCAGACCAGCCGCACGTTGCAGGGTCTCGCACAACAGGGCGCTGTGCGCCCACACCGATGTGGCCACGGCCGAGGCTGGTGGGGATGAGGCCGTAAACGCGGAGCAGCACTGCGCCGCTTTTGGCCGCACGCTCAGCACTGGATCTTGGCACCCGTCGCCGCCGCGCCCACGCCCACCATCGCGCGTTGCGGGCGCGGCGTCCGTCTCCGTCGGCGGAGACCGCCCAGCCTGGGGCGGCGGCAGCCAAGCAGGAAGCGCCCCGGCAGCGGGTTCCAGCAGAGCATCTCAGCAAAATCTGCGGCGAGAGCAGCACCAGCAGTTGAGCGGGTCGCACTCGCCGCCCCGCGCAGCCGTGGTGTGCGCTCGCTTTCTGGGCATCAGGGACAGCCTGGAGGAGGTCAGGGCTGAGCTGGCAGACCACACGCGGGCGCTGTTCAGCGGCGGCGCCGATGCATTGGCTGCCGCCGTTGTGCCTGACAGCGGCGATGGCCCAGATTTGCGGTTGCGTCCGTATGTGCTTAGCGCGTCAGGCCTGGCTGCAGGGAGGGAGGAGTACACGTCGTCCGGGCCACTGCCTGTCCTCGGGTCTGTCCCCAGCGCGGCGACCGCAGAGCACCTGCAAGGCATGACGTCGAGCCTGCACGCCGCGGCGCGGCCGTGGCTGCGCCGCACGGTAGCTGAGGCGGAGGCGGGCGCCTCTGCGGCAAGGGCCGTGCACTCCCTGAGGCTCGGCAATGCTGCGTGCAGCATGGGCGACACAACCAGCTGCGGCAGCCCTGCGACGCTCGGACGGTCTGTGAACCAGCAGAGCGGAGGGTTGGTGGTGGCGGCGGCAGCGGCGGCGGAGCGCTCCTTAGATGTGCGTTCGCCTGGTATTCTCCCCGAGTCAGCAGCCACACGTGCACCAGCGATGGAGCTTGTGCATACGGCCTTGACGGAGGACGCGGCACGAGACGCCTCGCAGCAGGGCCTGGAGCAAGTGTGCCGTTTGCCAGCAGCACTTGCAGCAGCAGGCACGGCGGAAGAGGCGTGGCGGGTGCTAGGGCAGACACGAACAACGCAGGTAATGTCTCCCACCAGGGCGGTGGGGCCGTTTAACGTGCCCTCGCAAAGGGGCAGCGTACCGAGCTCCACCTATGTTGCCCGACACTGGTGAGCAACACATTGTGCAGCCTGGAGCAGGAGCATGCATCAGCCTGTGTGCAGACCGTGGTTATCGCGTGTAGTGCAGAGCACTGTGTGTGCTTACACCATGCAGGGTCCTGTCCAGCGCCCGCTGCAGGGCAGCCCCCCGGCGGCCACCCTATCACGCCCCATCGCGATCCAGACCCAGTCACCAGCACTGCCCGCCCCATCTATGACCCCAAATCCTCGCGCAGTTCTACGCCCGGCCCTGCCTCCCCAACGGCCGCTCGCAGCCTCGGGCCATCGCGGGGAAAGGCTCGCCTCGTTGAGAGCTGCGGCGGCACCGGGGCCGGACAGGGCACCGGTGGCGGCAGCGGCCGGGCAGGGACGCTGGCTTCTCATGGAGCCGGTCCCAGCGGCTGCATCGCAGCTTCCCAGTTAACTGCAGCCACTGCACTGTCTGACGGCTGCGTCCCAGCCGTGAGCGCTGCGCCGGAGGATCTGCCCTCTCCCTCGCCTCGCAGCCCCCTCCAGGTCCCTTCTGCCGCGCCCGAGCAACAGCAACCAGTGGTGATACCCTCAAGGGGCGTGGTCCGGTTTGGATTATTGCGGCGGCCTGCAACAGCAAGCACGTCTGGCAGTGGGGCTGCTGTGGCGGCGGCCAGTGCACAGCAGTTGGCAGCGGCTGCAGTAGGCACGCTGGCCAGCGATGAAGCAAGCGGTTAGAACACACCGCCCCGCATTATGTCACACTGTCCTTTCAGCAATCAGAAGAAGTAAAACTCCTGCGCACGCAATCCAATGTTCACATGCATGCCTGGTCAAGGAATCGATGACATGTGCCCGCCATGCTCAAAAATGCAGTTGTGCGTTGCAGGTTAAAATGCGCCATGCATTGAAGACAGCCGTCCTTGAGTTTCAGACAAGAGACCGGTACCAAGAAGCACAGGTGCAATGCAGAATGGGTGCCCCAAACCCCGAGAATGTCATGCCACTGATGACTCCACGCTGCCTCCGATGTCCTGCGTACTGCTGTGTGTCGATCGCGTGCGCTCTGCATGCAGTATCAGCTCCCCAGCATCCTGCTCTTGCGGTGATGCTGCGGGCGCCGCTGCCCAGGTCACCACTAACAGAAGTGCTGTGAGGGACCGCCGCTGGGGGGGGTGACGTAATGCGTTTTCGAAGAATCTAGGCCCAGCGTGCCACGCAGACGCGCTCAAGGGGCTGCTGCGGTGGCGGTGGCAGTGGCAGCAGTGCGGCCGGCCGCAGCCTGCATGAGGGCCAGGAGCACCTCTGCCATCAGCCCCTCCCGGCTCGCACCGCCCTGCGCCGCCGCCTGTTGCGGGCGCGCCGGCGGCCCCGGCGCCCCATGGGCGGCCTGGTCGCTGGGCGCGGCGCTGAGCGCGGCGGGCGCGGCGCTGGCCGGCACGGGGGGCTGTGTGGGGGCTGGCAGCATCCCCAGGTTGGTCAGCACGCTGAGGATGGTGCCGAGCTGCTGCTGCAGCTGCAGCTGCAGCTGCTGCTGGCTGGGCCTGCCCTGCTGCTGCTGCTGCTGCTGCTGGTGGTGGTGGTGGCCCTGCTCCTGGTCCTGCTCCTGCGGCAGCTGCTGCTGCACCTGCTGGACCTGCTGCTGCTGCTGGCCCTGCTGGCCGAGCTGCCGCTGCAGCGCCGTGAGCTCCTGCTGCTGCCTCCTCCACTCCCGGTGCGCCGCCGCCACGCCGTTGATGCGCGCCATCAACTCCACCGCCCCTGCCGCCGGCGCGATCGGCGGCGG